ATATGTTTTATTTATATTGTATTATATTTATATACATCATATATTTATAATGTTTTTATGCAGAGTATATGTTTTGAAAAGGGGGAAAACAATAAATCGTTGTATGGATGCTGTAATGTTTAAAAATTTACCATTTAAAACAATGTGAAGGTCACATGATCATCAGGAATTGAGAAACAGCCAATCTCTTTCGAATTTAAAGCAACATTCACCAAAATGGCACAATTAGGACAAAGTCTAAAAGGGGAAGATTTGAAGACTAATACAATATTATTTGTGGAGTATTTTGAGCTGAAACTTCACACACACATTTTAGGGACATCAGAGACTTAGGCCCAATTTTAATTCTGCCCCTTACCCCTACCCCTCGTTTTTTGCTTGCACACCAAGGGGGAGGGGTGTCCCAATCCTCTTTAGCTTGAAGGTGTAGGGTTAAAGGGAAGGGGTGAATAGCCCTTAAAACAAAGATTTTTCAGGATCACACTCGAATCCAAGGGGTAAGAAAATTTCCCAGAATAAACTTGCCACAGTGGCAGCGTTGCTGAACCCGGAAGGAGATCCACAAATTTGTATTTTTTGTCATTATTACAAATTTTTACGACAAACAAATCTATGTTTTAATACATTCTTAACTGCATTCATTTTTTACTGTCATGCTTTAAAAAAAAATGCTGAAAAAAACCCGCTAAATTTTGCGATCTATAATCCCTAATAATAACTCCTGTAAAGCAGTCCAACAATATTCTGACACTTGATGACACTCGAATACCCTGTCAGTCTAGTGGCTGAGAATGAGCTTTTTACAGTGTCTGCTATAATGTTAATGTTGTTTTGGTGTATTTACATAGATGAACTTGGCCACTGTGTAAAAACACAGTATAGTTACGTGCATGAAAAAATAGTGTTCTTCAGTAATTGTTCTTATTAAATTTGAATACGCATGAGCATGTCGTAGTTTCAAGCAATTAACAAATTGCAGAGACTGCATTGCAATTATGTTAATATTATGTAAATATTTAATCAGAAGCACAGCACTGTGAACATCATCTTTTCAAATCAAAATGTGTGTTTTGCAATTCTGTTGCCAACAAATAAAATAATTTAGAAAAAAAACATTATACTCTTATCGGCTGCTTTATTAGGTACAGTTGTCCAACTGCTCGTTAACGTAAAATTTCTAACCAGCAAATCACATGGCAGCAACTCAATGCATTTAGGCATGTATACATGGCCAAGATGATCAGCTGCAGTTCAAACCTTGCATCAGAGGGTTTACAGAGAATAGTCCGAAAAAGAGAAGATATACAGTGAGTGGCAGTTCTGTACCCGCAAATGCCTTGTTAATGCCAGAGGTCAGAGAAGAATGGCCAGACTGGTCGAGCTGGTAGAAAGGTAACAATACCCAAATAACCACTCAAAACAACCATGGTATGCAGAAGAGCATCTCTAAATGCACAACACATCGAACCTTGAACAGAAACTGAGGATACAATTCGCAAACCGAAATTAGACAATAGAAAAACAGAAAAAAGTTGCCTGGTCTGATTCCTGCTGTAAAATTCTGATGGTAGGGTCAGCATTGTGTCAATGCCACAGCCTACCTCCTGAGTATTGTTGCTGGCCATGTCCATCCCTTTATGACCACAGTGTACCTATCGTCTGGTGGCTACTTCCAGCAGGTCAGAGCTTGTAATAGTAAGGTGTACCTAAAAAAGTGGCCGGTGAATGTATATTTGTGTAATTATATTTAATTACACATAGTTAGAAGTATTCAGACAGTTAGGGCTTGTATGTGACTATCTAAAACATATTGTTTTTAATTTGTTCAAAAAAAAGTTTATCATGTAAAGTAAAGCTGTTCTGGTGTGGAATTGTTGATCATTTAACAGAAAATTTTAACATGGTCCCTGTACAATAATTTGTACATTGCTAAATGATTTTGATTCTCAAGTTTGTCTTTTGCTGTTTTTTTTTTGTTTTTTTTCTGGAACGTTTTGACAGGTTGTTTTAAAAAGGCTTGTTTATCTTACCTCAGGTATTTGTTTTGTTGTTTCTAATCAGAAGTGTGCAGGTATGCCAGAGGGTCTTTCTTTCTAGAGTTGCCTTTGATTTACATTTGAGCAAAGCCAGATTAAAGTTCTGACACATTGCTTGAAAAGTAAGATGTCTGTTGAGCTTTGCTTCATGCGGTTCTTCTTTTTTGTTCAACATGATTTGTAGAACCCCACAACAGAAACATATGCCTGGGGTAAATCACAGTGGTGTGGTCCTGTCAAAACCAACACAAAATCCTGTCATTACTGCATATGCAAACAAGCCCTGGTGATATGTGCCAATTATAAAGCCCAACCGAAAGAAAAAGAAAATCCTTTCTGGACTGGCGGACAAACACGAGGCTTCAGCTAAAATACTATGGGATATGGGATATATACCATGTGGATATGGTACTCCTGTATGGAGTATTGCATTTCTGTAATTATTAGCAATGAAACCTATATTAGCAGATTCATGTCTGTCTTAGGGGTTGGGGATTTGAGAATTACATTATATTTCTTACAAATTGGGAGCAGAATTCGCTTAGGAGCTGCATGTAAGAAAAGGTGCCAGCTGGCCAATACAATTACTGGAGTTCCAATATAAAATGGCATAAAAATGCTAAATTGACCACTACGGAAGAGTGAAGATACTAACACTAATGTCTTAAAACTCTACTACCAATGGTTTTTTTATTGACCACATAACAAACTCGTAATATTCAATATCCAAATAAAATAAGTATGAATGGGAATAATGACAAAACTACTACTACTACTACTACTACTACTACTACTACTACTACTACTTGATGTTGTTGTTGTTGACCTTGATGTTGATGTTTGTCAAATCTACATTTAAAAAACTAAAAAATATACATAATTATAATTTTTTTTTAGATTTATTTTTTGGCCTTTTTGCCTTTTATTGAGTTGATAGGACAGTATTCCAGACAGGAAACAAAGTGGGAGAGAGAGAGAGGGGTTAGGGATGGGAAATGTTCTCGAGCCAGGATTTGAACTAGCGCACTAAGCTCTAGGCTATTGCACCGACACATAAATATAATTTAAATTATAAATAAACACAAAAAATTATTATTATTATTATTTATTATTATTTTTATTAGTAGTAGTAGTTGTATTATTGATGCTATTATTATTGTTGTTATTACAATTATTAATATTATTATCTCATAATTCAGTTAGCTAAACAAAACTTTTAAAAGTTTTTTTTTTATTTATTCATAATAGTTTGATAAATTTTAATAATGTATGCATGCAAACACACACAATCTGACATTCACAAACACACACAGCAGTAGGCAAGATTAAATTGGCTCTCAGGCTGCCAATATTGAGGTCGGAATGTTAATGAGAGTCTCTATGGGGATGCATTGAGAAAGGGGAAATAGAGAAAGAGCACAGCATGCTGTGCAATCTGACTTGTGGTTTCCAAATGCAGTGCCTCAGAGCCATCGATAAAGAGATAATCAAGAAGAGGGAGAGAGAAAGAGAGAGAGAGAAAGAGAGAGAGAGAGAGAGAGAGAGAGAGAGAGAGAGAGAGAGAGAGAGAGAGATATGCATGCTCATTATTTGATATAGATGCTGAGTCAGAGACTGTAGGCTGGTTTGTTGGTCTGCTCAACCCTGACAATCCCTGGCAGGCAAGTGAAGTGCACCCTAAACAATAAACACTAGCACACAGGGTTTTATAATTTGCTTACTGCAACAACCTGATAGTGCTGAACTGTTTCTGGGATAAAGGTGTCCAGCTTGGAGGTTTTTTTTGTCCTTGAATGTGAATTTGAGATACAGTAATTCAACAGTAGCAACACACATTTCTAACATAAACTCAAAACACGGGCAAAATAAAGTGAAATTCCTATTGCATACTAGCATTTCTAAAGTGTTACTGCAGAGCAACACAGACAGAACACAGAAGTATACGTAAATGCACACAACAGCATAAGGGAGGAAAGGGTACATAGATCACTTGACACAAAAGTGTAAATCAGGCTTTAATGGTTAGTCTTGCACATCCGCAATTATTGTTTATAGTTTAACAATTTTTGCACATGTGCATATCTGTCATTAAACTTGCATACGACACAAAATGTGTTTTAGGCAAAATTAGTTGTCAGAACGAGCATGGATCTGCACTCGGATATTCTACCAGAAATAATACGTCATTGTAACTTTGGAATACTAACTTGAACAAAGCAATTCCTTTTTCTTCTTCAAACTTTTTTTTTATAGTATTTAACCCTTGTGTACTGTTCAAATTGACTACGCTTTAGTTATCTTGGGGGCTGTTTTTGCCCCATTTACTTCCATTATAACCACATTTTTTTATTGCAAAGCCATGACACCATATAATCATGCATTCTTGATTTAGGGTGGTTGACCCTTTTGATAAGGTGTAGAATTTGTAATTTTTACTGTTGGATCATCAGTTGACACCATTTAGACACCCTTTAGTTAGAGAAAAAAACATTTTTTATTTATTCAGTTTTATCCCGCTATCATTCAGTAAAGGTTTTTTCCTGCAGTTTTAAAGTGACACGTCTGTTTTTTAATGTAATTCAACAAAAAATCACAATAAATGAGATTCATTTGTTGTTCTTTAATCAGAATGTGTAAGTTATACAGTGCAGAAAAGATTAAAAAGATTTGATATCTTGATTATATTTCCTTATAACATTAATAGCTATTCACTTTTATAAGCTAAACTATTTGCTAATTTTTCCCAGTGATGGGTTGCGGCTGGAATTACATCCGCTGCGCAAAACAATTGCTGGAAAAGTTGGTGGTTCATTCCGCTGTGGCGAACCCAGATTAATAAATGGACCAAACCGAAAAGAAAATGAATAAATGTTTGCTAATAAATATTTGCTGCTAATGTATACTATAAGTGCAAAAAGTGAAATGCATCAAACTGATGATTTCTTTTCTCTGCTTCTTCTGCAGAAAAGCTGTACAACTCGACGGGTCGTGAGCTACGAAGAGCACTGTTCTCTCTCAAGCAAATCTTCCAGGTAAGCTGCCTGAAAACCTGAGCACCTGCTAATGTCTTTTTGGTCCACAGCACATGTGTGTGACTGTTTTCATGCATGTTTTAGCTGTATACGGCTGCGCTGGAATTTCTGGCTGCACGAAAAATTTGCCAGATACCAAAGCTGGAGACTCCATCATTGATTGATTTTAAAGCTGTGCTGGAAGCTACTGTTTTTCTACTGGAGAAACCATGTCTGACCACTGCACTGCATGTGCGTGCATGCATGTGTGCCTGTGTGGGTTTAAATGACTTTCCACTAATGTTTGAGCATTTTTAATGACAAAAGCACCTGAATCACACCTGTCAACAGTATTTAAATCTGTCAGAGGCAAAGCATAAACACAAAATAAATGCAAAGACTCTGGAGCAGAAACAGGCTTATAGCTTTGTGAAAGCACATATACACAACCTTTTCTACCCTAGTTACAACACAACATACTAACAAGAAGGACCTAAGTAACTTTTACAGTGCTTAGCATGTATAAGTACAGCCCTCACAAATCTCTCTTTTAAATTAATATTTGATATAAGGTCCTATACAATAACCACTTTACAGCCACTTTTTTAGGTTGGTGCCCAACTGCTCGTTAATGCAAATTTGTAATCTACCAATGACATGGCAGCAACTTAATGCATTTAGGCATGTAGACAGGGTCAAGCTGATCTGCTGCAGTTCAAACCAAGCATCAGACTGGGCAAGAAAGGTGATTTAAGTGACTTTGAACGTAGCATGGTTGTTGATGCCAGGTGGTCTGGCCTGAGTATTTCAGAAACTGCTGATCTACTGGAATTGTCATGCATAACCATCACTAGGGTTTATAGAGAATGGTTCAAAAAAGAAAAACATATTTAGTGAGCAGCAGTTCTGTGGGAACAAATCCCTTGTTGATGCCAGAGGTCAGAGAAGAATGGCCTTACTGGTTTGAGCTGATAGAAAGCCAGCAATGACTTAAATAACCACTCGATACAAGCAAGGTATGCAGAAGACCATCTCTAAAAGCACAACATGTCGAACCTTGAGGCGGATAGGCTATAGCAGCAGAAGACCACACTGGGTGCCACTCCTGTCAGCTAAGAACAGTAAACCGAGGATACAATTTGCACAGGCTCAACAAAATTAGACAATAAATTGAAAGGGTCGGGATTTGGTTTTACATCATGAAAACATGGATCCATCCTGCCTTTTATCAACGGTTCAGGCTGGTGGTGGTGTAATGTTGTGGGGGATATTTTCTTGGCACACTTTAAGCCCATTAGGATCAACTGAGCATTGTGTCAATGCCACAGCCTACCTGAGTATTGTTGCTGACTATGTGCATTCCTTTATGACCACAGTGTACCAATCTTCTGATGGCTACTTAAAAAACGGGATAACATGCCATGTCATAAACCGTGAATCATCGAGTTCACTGTACTCAACTGGCCTCCACAGTCACCAGAGCTCAATCCAATAGACCAATTAAAATGTTTGTAAACATTCAGGATGCGCGCGCAGAGAGGTGGCAGAAAAAAACGGGAGAGCCAGCATTTACAGCGAGGGAATGACATCAGATGTGGTGCAGAATTTGTTGTTGTCTTAGAAATAAGATATATTGATTACACATTATATACATTATTTACATAATGCTTTCAGCATATTATAACAGCTCGTCGCCCAGTTATAAGCACAGTGATTCTGCAAAATTACCATTAAATTGAGCGGCGTTCATCTGACAGGTCCATTTGCGATAGCACCCTCCCAATGGATATTGGATAAGACGAAATGACCAAGCATCCAGCACCAAATATAAATCTAATTGAAGCTCCAAGTGATTTTACAAGAGAGAAGTTAAAGGTCTATAAATCTTTTTATGCCAACAATGATGTTCTATGTGGTCATGTGCAAGAAATAATGCTCCATGATGACCAGATTCAACACTATGTAGAGCTAAAAACCGAGATTCTGCTTAGCCAAACACAAGGAAAGAAGACAGAGTTAATGTTATACAAGGCCTGGGTAATTAATCACCAACACGCAAAGCGACTGCATTCTGACAGCGAACTGCACCTGTACGGCAGGATATGTGAACGAGGTAAAGTCGGTTTTATATTCGCACATTTGGACTTTCTCCTTCACAATATAATTTCTTTAAAGTATTATTTGCAAAGTCTAAATAGCGAAATCTTATTAGCAGCCAATGACTATCAAAGTACAACATGTTCACAGTCAAATAAACTGTTAATGTTGTTTTCAAGTCACACTTGCAGGTTATTTCAGACCGAATATTCATAGTGCAGTGGTAAACAATATAGGGAGTTTATCACAAGTTGTCACTGAATGAATGTGTGAATATAATCCCAACTTTACCTTAATAAACGTAACTTTCACGTTTCATTCTTAGCATTCAGTGTCTGCGGTTTAATTCCCCATATGTAACTGTTTTTGCTGAAATCATTTCTGCAATAAAAAACGAGTGATGTGTATGGTTCAGCATAGTGTGAACTTACCTGATATGACATGAGAACTGCAGAGTCCAGCATTTCTAATTAGCTCCTCACTTCATTCAGCTCCCATTTAGCCAAAGACGTCTGCAGTCGGTATTAAAGCAGTGTGTGGTGTATGGTAAAAGTTAAGTTTTCTATTTTTGGACTCGAATTCGGCATCCTACCGCACAAAACAACATACATTATATGAAGGATTAAGGCAGCTCTGAAGGCTAAAGTGGGTCCAAGTATGGTGTACTTAATAAAGTGGCCAGTGAGTGTATATTTGTGCATATACATTGGTCAGTACTAAGCCAAATCTGAATCTAATCCAACAAAATAACTGCAAAATTAGGTACACGTAGATGTATATGTTAGAAAATTGTGAAATACAAAATGTTATTTTTTGTATATATATACATACAGTTTAAATGAAATACTTTACTTGAATTTAAATGTGTTATCTTTGGGGTTGTAAAGTTGCAAGTTTGACATTTTGAATGATATACGGTCACACTGTCCCTTTATTTACACTTGTGATACAGTAGCTACTCTACAATCACTGTTATGATACATCAAGTCACTTATATATATATATTAGCAGTATAGTCATAAAAGACTGCTTACTTCTGAAAAAGCATAAATAAATAAATAAATAAATAAAGATAAATTAATTAATTAATTACATAAAAAATAATAAAAAAATTATTAAATAAATAAATAAATAAAAACTACTGAAAAATGTAGCATTGCTACTTTTAGGTTGTTACTCCCATAATGCGCACACACACACACGCACACAGCCAGGACTTGGACAGAATTCCAGTTCTGCACTTCCAGTTATTGAAAGCGATCTCATAATCCTCCTAATCTCCCTGCATTTTAATCTAAGATGTATGAATCACTTGAGAACATTATGCAAGAGCAGTCGTCTGATTGATCGCCTGACTCAGGAAGAATTGTGGCAAGAATCGCATTCTTCATGCTGTCGTTCGCTTAAGTGCATGTGCAGTAAAGTGCATTTCTCCAGACGCGGGCATACTGTGTCATTATGAAGCGTCTGTGCCAGTATAAATTCCACAAGTCCAACACCCCTAATCATTTTCAGATCAGCCAATAGGGTGTGTCCACACAAATCCCAAAGCTGCCGAAATATTGGACGTTCACTTCCACACGGAGACAGAGAAAGGATGCAAGCTGTAATCGGAGAATTAGTGGAGTGTGCCCAGCTGTGAGTGCCATGAATCAAGTGAAGACACGTCCCGCTCCTCACACCTCTTATACTGCGTGTTTAATGGGCTCTTTACTGCAGTGAAGCACTCGGTCGGCACTTAGCAACCCAAATTTACTTGAGCCCAAACACAGAGGGTTTCCATGGGAAGGAAGTGAAAAAGGATTTAGAACCGTGCTCAGTGAGAGAGACTCTGCAGGGACGAGTTCATGACAGCTCTATAAAACAACACCGGACGTTAATGCATTGATATATCTTTGCTGCTTAAACTTAAAGGTTGGTAATGAACTAGCTGTAATTAAAAAGGTGTATGAAATATAGCAAACACTAAATAATACCTTTTGTAGTCAGAGAAATATAACATTTTGAGTAAACCGAAAATACGAAACTATGTATTTTAATTTTTAAGACTAAGTTTTAAGAAATTATAAATTATAAGTTTATAAATGTCAAAATTAAATCATAGCTTTATACTTTATTATCAAGTGTTAGTACAACAGGTTTATAAAAACCCTAACCCTAACCCTAATATTTTAGGCATGCGCGCACACACGCACACGCATACACGCACACACACACACACACACACACACACACACACACACACACACACACATACATTCATTCATTTTCTTTTTGGCTTAGTTTCTTTATTAATCTGGGGTCGCAACAGCGGAATAAACCACCAACTTGTCCAGCATATGTTTTACGCAACAGATGCTCTTCCAGCCACAACCCAACACCAGGAAACACTAATAATGTAATGGTACCAACTATGCCACCGTGACATCCTTATTTTGAAAATTATTATGTTAAATGAACAATAGTATAAACTGTATTTAATCTGTTGTGGTTGGAAGGGAATTCACCATATAAAACCATTTGCCAGAGCAATTGGTGGGTTATTCCACTTTGGTGACCCCTGATACATCAAAGACTGAGCTGAAGGACAGTGAGTGAGTGAGAGTGTATTTAATCTATACAATAATTATGTTATTTATCATATTTAATATGCATCTTTCTCTTTCTTCATACTTTATTACCAAATGCGACTGGACTGCAGAGCCAGTTGTATGTTGCACAGGTATGTTTTTGGTTTTTTTTTGGCAATATTTAAAAAAAAATATTTAGAATTTTTTTCATCCCTCAAAATCTGGCTAGTCATGTAGTTTTATGACAGGCAAATTGTGTCTGTCCTTACAAACCATACATCAATAAACAGATAATTTATTTAGCTTTTAGATGTGTATAAATCTCAATAAAATGACAAAACAAATACAAACACATAGACTATTATTTGTTCAATCTCTAAGTGCACATGTACGTAAAAATCAAAGCAACAATGCTAGACCACATGCGTGTGTTTGTGCTGCTGAACATACTGATTGACATAGTCAACTACTGAAAACTGCTGTAAGTGTAAAGGAAACTGATTTTAGGTGAACTATAGACAATAAAATTAGTTGACATACACAGAACACATTGATGCATTTTAGTATTGGCATATATTGTGGCACAGTATATTGATACACCCTATTAAATGATACAGTATATTTAAATTGAGTTTAAAAATGGTAATAAAACTGAATAGAAAACTCATTTTTTCAAAAACATTTAATCTATCTAAATTTCCATTCAATGTTGAGTTATTTTTAATGTTATTTAAAGAATCGTCCGTCACCTGGTGGACAGAGAGCTTGCAGAACAATACAGCATGTGTTGGTGTAGGAGTGAAAACCTTTAGGGAGCACAGAGAAAACGCTGACAGAGCGCTGGACAGATAGGAATGCATAAGCTTCGTTTTTGGACCATGTCAGTTTGATATCGAGCACAACTGGACCTTTCTGAAATTCTCATTGGTCATTATGAAGCTGTGTTAAAGCTAGTCAAAACCTTTTTGGTCCCATTATGAACTGTCAATTTTTTTTTTCTTTACACTCTAAAATTGCTGCGTTGTATTGAAAGCTCATGAAACTTTCAAGTTGGGTTCGGACCAGGGGCTTGGAAGTCGTCATGAAATGGAAGTTAAGATTGTCCTTATTTTTACTTTTGTGAGGACGTCAGCTTAAAAGGGTTCTAAATGATTCTGTTCTTTGATTGAATTATCAAAAGTCGGGCGTCACTAGATTGACGAACAGAAAAATTCAGATCAGAAACAAGACACAAACAGATATGCCTGCCCTAAAGAAATTCCATTTGACCTGTACATGAAGAAAGACATTTCTAGGTGGAGGGGGAGGAAAGGGTAAAGTCCAATCTATGGTAACTTCTGAAATAGGTGAGGTAACCAATGATTTTATAGATAACAATTAAATCCAAGAGCTGATCGCATGCTTACATTGAGACATAACCTTGGGTTTACAATGGACACACCGCCTCCATTTCATTGTATCTATCTCTTATCCTCGCTGTAGATCAGTTCTCCATGTGCGTAAACATCACCAATGTGTTCAGTTCTTTTTGCCATAGATTTGCTGTTTTAGGCGTCACACTATATACTGTAGATTATTTGAAAATGAAAGTATTGTGAAAAAGCCCCAAAAAAGGCAGTTGTTTCCTACAATTATGCAAACAGATGCTAACATTGTTTTAATTATGCTCAACACATATAAATAAATATGTTAAAATCTTAGATTATTTAGTTGAGGTTTCCATGACCCCTTAAAACAACTTCGGAATACATATGGACAAACCCAATGTTGGGTTTATTTCTTGCAATACATTAAAATTAAAATTTATTTAACTCTGCTCAACTGTTGTATTTGTCTATATTTGACGAGTGGTGGGTTAAAACAATCCAATGTTCATTAGAGAGTTTATGATTTCAGTTGTTAAGCATCAGCAACTTTTTCTTTTTCCTGTCTTGCTTGACATCATGTGCTATGTCTGTGTACAATATTTGTTCTCAGTTTGTCATATATACATGCACAATATCTCAGCTTGGATTAAGAATCTGCTTGTTTTTCTTCTGCAGGATGATAAGGATCTGGTTCATGAGTTTGTGATGGCGGAGGGACTCACATGTCTTATTAAAGTGGGAGCTGAAGCTGATCAAAACTACCAAAACTACATTCTCAGAGGTACAGTAGACATTACAACAGAGTAAAATCTTATTTAAGGTTTTGCTATTAGAGGTCAATCTTTATGCTCAATTGTTTGTAAATACACATTTTCAAATAAATGAGATCATACAAATATGTTTGAACTAGCAACCCACTGACCTAAAAGTAAAATACTTGCTTTCTCCCACAAGATCTAGTGTATTATCACAAAACTATAAATAGAATATATACAACTATATAAACTTTTAAAGATATGAAATACCCAATTTAGATCGTAATGTTATTGTTGTCATAGTATGTCCTACAAAGGATTGCTTAGGTTACATAATAATACATCTCAATAGATTATACTTAGTAATAAATGAAATGTGATTTGTAATTTACACTACCATGCAAAAGCTTTTTTATGAATACTTTTACAAAGGATGAATAAACTACATTATATAAAGTAGCAATAAAGACATTCATAATTGTACAAACAAATTCACTGTTTTATTATTTTAGACCCTAGATTCTAGAATCTATATCAAAGAGCCCTCTAAATGTATCGTGGTTTCCAAAAAAAAATAAAAAATACTCAGTTGGTCAGTTGCATACACAGTGGCTTGCAAAAAAGTACACCTCCTGGGACGTATTTCACACTTTCCAAAAATGTATACAGGGGTATGTATCCATAATAAGCCTGGGTTGTATTTTCAACATTAGTAATAGTAATTAAAAGTTTTATCAGATTTTTTCCCAATGTGGATCACCTTTTTAAATAGATTATTTTAAGAAATGTAATACAAAGATAATTATCATCATCAAAGGTAATAAATACTTAAAATCAAGAGACATCTTTTGTTGTCAACACTACATACCCTTAGTTTTCACTAAAATGTATGTACTGTAGTAAACTAACTTTTCATTTTGTTCACATAATCCCGCATACATGTCATCACTGTCACTACAACTAAACCACTAAAACCAGGGCTTTATATTAACAACCGCCAACGTGCCAAATGTGGGTAGATTTCAGCTTTGGCAGGTTTGAAAGACACCTCCAACAGCCACTTTGGCTGGTTGGAAATCTGCTACAAAGTGTAGTTTTCTTAAAAGCAAAGTTCAACAATAAGCATGGCCCAATATTCATGCAAATGTGATCTTATAATCGAGAAGCAGCACGACTGACAAAAATAATTATGTTCGCGTGAGCAAAACAGCAAAAAAGAAGGTAAATACCAGACGAGAGGATGATCACTTGCACGCATAGGTGATATGAGGTGCGCAACAGTTAAAAAGTGCGCCCACTCCCGTTTACTTGTGCAAAGCAATCGTGCCTAAAAGCGCAACTGGTGCAATCTGTTACCTTTGAAATAGACTAGACAAACAGCGATGATAGTTCACCCACAGACAGTCCTGCTGATTTCAAGATAAAAAAATGCATTCTTTTGTAAGCAGCAGCGGTCACTGCTTTAATTTTAATTATTCTTTGAACAGATTATTAAAAGGCCTTAACCGTGTGCACGTGATCATCCTTTCATTATCAAACACGGTATGTTTCACCTGCTTTCTTTGCTTACTGTTATTTTTGTTAATATGGTTTAATGATCATTGTTTACAATAACGCATAATGCATTTACTAACATGAACAAACAATGAACAATACATTTAGTACTGTATTTGTTCATGTTAGTTAACGTTAGTTAATGAAAATACAGTAGTTCAGTGTTAGTTCATGTTAACTCATGGTGCATTAACTAATGTTAACAATCATGAACTTGAATGTCACTAATGCATTAGTAAATGTTCAATTATGATTAATAAATGTATGAAGACAGATTAGACTTAATAATAATTCACGCAAAAGACATGATGTACACATGCGTAGCCAAATTCATGTGCATAAAATCAAATTCACGTGCGTAAAATATTTATTTATATTCATAAAAAAATTTCACGTGCACAAAATAAAAATAATTTTTTTTATAAAATACGTTTCACAAATGCAAAACACCATTTGCAAATGTATGAGTGTACAAAAAGTTTTGAATGTTTAAAACTTGCGAGTTCATCCTGAATGAGAATGTGCAAATCCTCTTTCACGTACGACTCCCCCTGGATACGTGTCTGTGTGTGTATTTTTGAGACTCTCTCAGGGCAACTCGTACCTTTCAGCCAATCAGATGAGAGCTGTAGTCGATGACAACCACTCTGCATTCCATTTGCGCAGACTGTTCCTCTCCAGCATGGCGAACAGAGAAAGCAGCAGTCGCACTTTTTTTTCATTTATTTGACCATAGCCTCACTCTTTTTATCCATTATTTTGCCGCAGTTCGGCTCTTCTTATTTATTGTCTCGCAGCCCTATAAACAAAATGTAGTCTGTAGGGTAGTGCTGATGTAAATATCATTCCGGCCACTCAAGTCTAACAGCACCATTGTTGTCTTGTGGTCAGCATGTTGCGTTTCGACGCTGAAGAATCCGTGTTCGATCTTCACCTTAGTAAGTTTTTTTTTTTTTTTTCATTTTTATTGTTAAGACATGAAACTGTAAAGTTGTTGAACATTTGAAGTTTTAAAGCAGCTTATCATTAATTAGCCTATTTGTTTGTTATTTTATTTTATTATTTGTCATCTGGGTCATAATTAACCTACCGCACAGACAGAATAACCTGTGGCTCATGGAAAAAAAATTATAATTTAGGATTATTATAAATCAGCTTATATATATATATATATATATAAGCTGATTTATAATAATCCTAAATTATAATTTTTTTTCCATGAGCCACAGGTTATTCTGTGTGTGCATACATACATACATATACACAGGGCTTGACTCTAACGTTTTTGAACACCGGCCACTGTGGCTAGTAGTTTTCCAACGTTACTAGCCACTCGCCATTTTCACTAGCCATTTTGTTGTTGGGAAAATATATTTTATATGCATAAATGACTTTGACATGCTAAAATACGTTATTCAAATGTTGTGTTATCTATATATATATATGTGTGTGTGTGTGTGTGTGTGTGTGTGTGTGTGTGTGTGTGTGTGTGTGTGTGTGTGTGTGTGTGTGTGTGTGTGTTTAAAAACTGACGCTATTCTTCCCAGCTCGGTCAATGAGAATATGACAGCATAAACTAATTCTTTAATTCTTTTTGCTTATCGCGGGTTGTAGTAAACTTATTTGCAATTAAATTAAAGGCAACCATTACAGTAATGGTGATCCACACTGTGGTGGCCATTAACTAGCTTGAGTAATTGTTTATTTAAATGATATTTATTATTTTAAAATACAAAATAAAACATAATTAAAAACATATCTTCACTGAAATTATGCCGCATTAATCACTCCTGTAGAAACTTTGCAGAATAAAAATGCTAAATCATTCTAGTAGGTGGCGCATTTAGATCAGTAATGAGGACCAGTGATGAGACATTCCAAACGCATACGCAAGCAAAACTGAAACTAACAGAACATACGACAATACCAAAATAAAACATTGCGTTTAATGCTGAAAGAAGGTAAACCAGATTAACATATCATACCGCATACACAATAGCCTCATTTATTTAATTAGGCTATAATGTCCTTGACCACCAGTAAATCAGAATGTTCAACTGGACATCACTTTAGTTCTCCTTCGGGTGGGGAACGCCAATGCTATTAGTGGATTTGATTTTAGGAAAATCCACAAATTGGAGGATTCGTTCAGAAGCCGCTTGTCTGAAAGAGTATGGAACGGGCCAATGAATGCTAATGAATTGGCAGCATAAGCTTGCGATGGTGTGCTTCATTGCCAATTAACCCAGCATATAAGCACACATGGAGCAAGCAGATGCCATCCTTTTCGCTTCAGAGACTCTTCTGATCGAGTCGATGAGGGTTCCTCTTGCTGACTACAGCGACTTCCGAGCGAACGAGTGTCTCCCGGTCCAGAGTGGGTATACGCGGCGGCAGACGGTCGAGCTGGGATTCTCCCTTGCCTGGCGTTCTTTGGGTCCAGTCCTCCACAGCGGTGCGTATAGTTGCATTTTTCTTAAAAAAACAACACAGTCGTTCAGCATGTCCTTTTCAGGATGGCGCTCCGACAGTGCGTTTCTGGTTGCGGGGGTTTCCTGGCTCCGGATGATGGACACGATCACTGCATTACATGTTTGGGGGTCAAGCATGTTAATGTGGCGCTCACGGGCAGTTCATGTCATCACTGCAATGCCATGACCGTTGCGCAGCTAAGATTGCGGCTAGCTTTCGTAAGAGAGCGAACCACCCTAGTTGCCTCCTGCTCTGAAGCGGGCACTCGGGCAGATCTGAGGGTCTCAGCAGGAGATAATCTGTCGCCCAAGGGCTCGCGGACCTCCCGCTCCTCCAAGCGCTCCATCTAAGCTTCGGGCACTGGGAGCGATCCGTCTAATCAGATGGTAGCTCTCACGTTCGCTGACACCAGAGATCAGATGTCCTCCGCAGCAACGGAGGGTGGGCTTTCACTGTCCGACGAAGATCCAGACCCGCTTGCCACCTCCGGGCAGGCGAGCACCGTCAAGACTGATCCTGAAGCGGACATGTCAGCCGTGATTTCCCGGGCTGCTTCGGCCGAGGGGTTGGACCCCCAGCTCTGCGGCCAGACCGACTAGATGAGTGTTACGTAGAGGAACAGAACGTGAAGCCCTCTAAGCCTCTCGTCCCCTTCTTTCCGGAGGTGCACAGTAGGCTCACGCAGTCTTGGAGGGCACCTTTCCCTCCACCCTCACCGCCCTTGACGGTGGAGCTGCCAGGGGGTATGAGGCGATCCCGTCAGTGGAGCGCGCTATCGCGGTCAATCTTTGCCTGCGTGGCGCCCCTATTTGGCGGGGTCCGCCCCGTCTCCCGTCCAAAGCCTGTAGGTTATCTGCCTCACTCGGAGCCAGAGCTTACAAGGCTGCGGGCCAGGCTGCTTCCGCCTTGCACGCGATGGCCACCTACCAGCGCTACCAATCGCAGGTGCACTAGTGGTCCAGGAACGCCACCTCTGGCTAAACCTGGCCGATATGCGCGA